CTTTCTTTTGAGAGACAATAACTTTATACACGGTGCACTTTCAGATTTAAAACTTTGCAGGATGTTTTCATTCACTTAGAGCTGTGTTACACACTGCACGAAAGGTAATTTTCAAAAATCCATAATAGGGGCACTGTGAATGTTTCCATACAGTCATAGACTGTCCTTAGGGTTTAGACATAAATTAAACGGTTTTAAAACATCCACACACGCAGATCTGATGACTGTCACTTCCCTGACCCGATGAGCGGTTTATAGTCATGTGTTTCACACAACTGGATCCGCTAAATTCAAACACACACACACACACACACACACTAACCGTGAAGCTAAAATGTCTGTTCACTGGCAGGAAGTCCAAGTGTGTGTGGATGTTTTGCAGATATAATTGACTTATTCATGTAGTTCAGTATGCGAGCCCCTCCCAAACACACACACACAGCTAATATTCACCACAGCCGGATTTCTGTATTTCCTGTCTTTGTCTAAAGGCTACACCAGACTGAGCATCTCAACACACACGCAGCACAGGAAAAATGAAAAATGTCCAGAAACAGAGGAAGTGTCCAGGGTCAAACTCAGTGTGTAAACGTCTGCCTGTAAAACAACACGTCTGAGTGGAGATTCTTGAACAGTTTGATATGTTTTGATGGAACTCAAAACAAACGTTTGCTATGAAACGATTTCTCTCTATCTGTCCCGGTGCTCTGGTTATTAATGTTCCACTGTCGTCCAAACATCGCATAGTATTTAAATTAACATAAAAGTAATACAAATAGACAGCACAAAAATTAACTCAAGAAAGTACCACTGCAAAAAAGTTGCACAAAAATAACAACTAAAGTAATACAAGAGCTAATATGTAAAGTATAAAAAAAGGACAACAAAGACAAATTACACAAAATAACCAAATAACGTAAAAAAAAGTTGAACAACAAAATGTAAAAAAAATAACTAAAAGTAACACAAAGAATTGCAACAAAATACAACTAAAGAAAGAAAGGTTTTCAGTTGTTGTCTTCAATCGACGGACTCGAGAAACTTGGTGCTTTTATTTTTTTTGATACTTTTAGTTTTGTGAGTTTAGTTATTTTTGTATAACTTTTTGTAGTGGTACTTTCCTGAGTTGATCTTTTGTGGTGGTGTTTGGACATCACAATAAAATGTAACACATAAAAACCAAACAAAAGTAACAAAAAATAACTCCAAAATTAACATAATGTTCCCAAAAATAGCCACTAAGTTACACAACAAAAATAACAACAACAATAATGTCTCTCACACAAATATATATAATTGCAATTAGTAAGCATTAGTAATATAATTGATCATTTAATAATATAATTTTGGTTTATTATCGCTTGCCTTATTAGGCACATATAAACCACACAAAAGTAATAAAAGTAACTAAAAAAAAGTTATAAAACAAAATACAATGCAAACAACTCTCACACACAAATCCATACCATTGCAATTAGTTACCATTAATAATATACGTTTTTGTTTAATAATATAATTAGGTTCATTATCACTTAGATTTTTAGTTTACGGGCACTTACTGTAAAAAAAAAATGTGTGAATGATTGTGTAGAACGTTTGCTCAGAATTATCGTTAAACAGTGAGATGAACTCTGAGTATATTTACATTTGAAATAGAATAGCGTGTGAGAGCTGTGTGTGCATGTGCGTGTGGCGGTCGCTGCGGTTGTGTTTGTTTTGATGATCAGCCATCATACAGCAGTGTTCTGTAGAATGCCATAATAAACTAATTACACATACACACGCTGCCAACACTCTGCTCGATCGTCCAGAAATAACATCAGCTTCCTCACTGATGCTCTACATTACCACCCAAGAGCCCCAACACACACACACACACACACACACATACAACACACAACACTGGATAACACACATCTCAGCATAGATAAGACTGTGTGTGTGTGTGTGTGTGTGTGTGTGTGTGTGTTGTACAGGAAGTGCTTCCACATTAATGAGGTAACACCGCATCATTAATCTAGTCAGATTCATCCTTTCAAACACACACACACACACAAGCACTTATGTAACCAGTTGAGATAATTGCAATTAGTTGCTCTGTGGGAATCAGTTCCTACCGCGGTCCACTTGTTGAACTAATAGGGTATTACTGTGTGTGTGTGTGTGTGTGTGTGTGCTCTTATTACAGCTTGTTTTATAGTGTGTGTGGAACTGACTTTAATCGCTAACAGACATTACCCATAAAACCCTGTTTCTTTCTTTCTTCTGCTACTTTTCCTCTCTCTCTCTCTGTTCTCAGGCCCGGCCCTCATAATAAGGTCATAGGCTGAGCAGCTCGTCAATCACACACTCATTAGTGCAGTTTAATGACGCTGTGACCCGCCCACCTGCCTCCGGGGCTCCAGCAGGGGAAGTGAATGGGCCGCGGGGCAAACGTCTGCATTGTTTCTCCTCGCTGTGCCTCCCGCTCTGAGAGAGTCAGAGGATGTTCAGTGTCTGTGTGCCGGCGGTCAGAAGGTACCAGTGAAACATTCACACACAACAGGATTGTTATCCTCAAATAAAACTATTACAAACATTTTTGTGCTGCCTAAACTAACTTAAACTGATCTAGAAGTAAAACTAAATAAAAAATACATTAAACTTAAATAGTTATATTAAAAAAATAATCAAAAACAAACAAAACATAAATAAATAAATAAACAAAATGAAAAAAAAAAAACTGGTAAAATATACCAATATATTAATAATATATTAATATTAATATATGAATATATTAATAGTAATAATATACTAATAATAAACTGAAAACATAAATATAGTAATATTTGTAGTAATGAAAATAGTAATATAAAATAATCAAAATGACAAAAGCATATAAAATTACTAAAAATTCATTTTAAAATTAAAATAGGCTAATAATCTGAAATTATAAAGTAATATTTATAGTATTGTATAGTATAGTAATATTTAAAATATAATAATATTTAGTAACAAAGTAATATTAGTATATTAATATTTATATATTAGTAATATAGTAATATAAAAAAAAATTACAAAAGCACAGAACATTATTAATTACTAATTAACACAATTTTAAAATTAAAATATATTAATAGTAATAAAAAATTGAAAAGATAAATATAGTAATATGTGTAGTAATATTAATAGTAATATTAAAAAAAGCCAAGACTAATAAAATCGACAAAAGCACGTAAAATCACAAAAAATGAAACAAATTTGCTAAATATACTAATAATAAACTGAAAGTATAAATAAAGTAATATTTTTTGTATTATGAATAGTAGAAATGTATATGTAAGTGTGTATATATACAGTATATATATATATATATATATATTTGCAGTAGTATTAATAGTAATATAAAAAAAACCAAAAATGAATAAAAAGGACAAAAGCACGTAATATTACTAAAAATTAAACTAAAATTGTAAATGAAAATATACCAATAATAAACCAAAAATATAAAAACGAATTCAAAATATTAATAAAAACAAAAAAAAATAAAATACAAAAATAACACTGCTAAAGTAAAATTTTGCTGAAATAACACTGACACACACACATGGCAAATGCACATGCAGACACACACTGTTTTATGTCATTCGTTGTGATTTTGAAACATTGTATGAAATATTCCAGAAATGATGGGATACTCTCGCTGTCGACCAATGTCATGGCTTAACTTCTCAGAGTTAAGTGTGTGGAACTGAGCTGTTCATTCATCGTCACACACACACAGAGCTAACTCATTATAATGGCTTGAGCCACTATAGGCCTGAAACTGTGGATGTGAGTGAGGTCATAGGTCGTGACCTTCCACCCCTGACAGCTCGTTCGCCTCTCCCGCGAAAGGTCACCAAAGAGCACGTCTTCCTGACTGCGAGCGGATTGGCTCCTGGGGAATTCCTCCGAACGGAGGGAGTGGAGGAACATTCCAGCACGCGGAGTGATGGATGATGCAAACACAGCGAGAGGAAAACAAGACAAATTGTTGCGTTCACTGCGGCATCTCTGACCTCAGCCTCGCTAATCGCTGTCTGCGGTTTCACGGCGCAGCTGTTGCGCTAGTGGCTACGGAAACACCAAGCCTTCATAGACACATTCATGAAATGATTTTACTTAAAAATATAATGTATGTTTTTTTTTAAATTTACGAATTAATTTATTTGTTTATTTAGGAATGGATTCATTTATTTACTCATTTATTTATTTATGAATTTATGCATTTGTTTTTATTTACTCATTTATAACTGTTGTAACGTGTGCTAATATATAATCAAGCGCACGGCGAAGGAGTATAATCCAAAGGGGAATTTTAATAATAAATCCACAGGAAAAATCAATCCGAACACAAACAAAAGCAACTGAAGAACAGACAGGGCTTAAATACAAGGACAGGGCAATTAAGGAGAAACAGAACAGGTGTGTGGAACTAATTAACCAATCAAAAACCATAGAAACAAAACAAACGAGGGAACACAGGCCAACTGGAACGCAGAGAAACCCAACCAAAACACAACAGAAACCTGACAACTGTATTTATTTACTTAATTATTTATGCATTTATTGATTTATTTTATTTACTGTATTTATTTATGCATTTTATGAATGAATATATTTATTTGTTTGCTTGTGCATTTAATAATTTGATAATGCATACATTTATGTATGCATTAATTTATTAATGAATGCATGAAAATTATGCATGAGTGAATTAATGAATTTATGTATTTATTTAGTTATTAATGAATTATCTATTAAATAATTTTAGTTAGTTGTTTACTTTAGTTACAGTAGTTAGTTAGTGGTCAGTACATAACATGAGATGAAAATACAAAATAGCGCTACTCACATGAAGCGTGTAACACACTCAACTCACTATTGATACCAGAGTTTGGCAGACACAAATATTGTGCAAAATAGTCCATTTTTAAATAGACTGATCGATTTTTGTCCATCTTTCAGTATTGAATGAAACAGAACTATATATAGCCAACATTCATTTCAGCTTGTCTGCAATAAACTGTGTTTTCCCACTGGACTTGTCCTGATCTCTGCAGTGTGTGTTATGCTGAATGTCTTGTGGTACAGTAATTCTGACAGCGGTTCTGTGGCTACAATGAGCTGTGTGACCTTTGACCTCCAGACTTAATGCATTCAACGTCTGTTTCACTGCTTAGCATCAGGAAGAATGTGTGTGTGTGTGTGTGTGAGAGAGAGAGAGACAGTAACTCTGTTCTTAGCTTGTGAGTCGCCTACATAGACAGCATCCTTCTGAACACAAATGCATCTTCAGAAGAGACTGATTTGAAGTGTTATACATAGGCAACATAAAATGTACATTTTCAATTAGATTGAATTGGTGTTTTAGTATTATATATATATAGTGTTAAAGTTTTTATAAATATTTTTAATTAGCTTTTAGTTTTAGATTTTACATTTTTAGTAAATTTTTAAAATAATTTGTGTATTAATTTAGGTCATTTTTATTTTCTTTTTTTTTAAACATTACTATTAATATTATTATAAATATTACTATATTTATGTTTTCAGTGTATTGCTAGTATATCTTCATTTAAAATTTTAGTTGAATTTTTAGTAATTTTGCTGTTTACTTTTGTTATCTTTTCTTTTTCTTTTTTAAATAATACTATTAATATTATTATAAATATTACTATATATTTTCAGTGTATTGTTAGTGTGTTTTCATTTAAAATTTAATTTAATTTTTAGTATTTTTAGTTGATTTTGTCATTAAAAAAAAAAAATTACTGTTTAGGTGTAATTGTTTTATTTCATTTATTTTAATTTTAGTTTATATTATTTCCAGTTAGTGATTTTCATGCTTCAACTTCAGCTTTATTTCAATTAGCAAAAATGTTTTTGATAGTTTTAGTTAACAATTTGTCACGTGGATAGTCGTTCAGTGTGAAACCAACAGTGATGCGACGTCTTTGAAAATCGTGCAGTGTGAACTCGGCATTAGTTCTGTTTTCTTTGTCATAGTTGTCCCTCCACTAGTTTGTTTCCTTAGTTACCAATTGCTCCACACCTGTTTTAGTTCATGCTGATGACCTTCCTCATGTATTTAAACCCTGTGTCTTCCTCAGTTCAGGGTCTGCTATTGTTTTGTGCTCGTGTGGTTGTTCTGTTCTCCCTGTGGATTTATTAAAGTTACTTTCTTGGTCTCTACTCCTTCGTCATGCGCTTTATACTGTGAACTTTTTTTATTTTTTTTTATCAATGCCTGTCATATTGAATGAGAAGTATATTCATAATCAAAATGTACTTATATTGGATGATTTTTTAATGTAAAAATGCATTCAGGCATTGGCTTCACCATGCAGGATATATGCGATTCCACCTTAAAATGATTCCAAAATAAGGTGTCTTAGTAGGCAGCACAATTATAAGCATATATAATTATGCTGCCTACCTTTGAGAAGGTCAGGACCGCAGCTATGATGCCTTAAAATGCTGTCTAGATAGGCGGCGTGTGGGTTTAAACAGAGCTAGTGTATGTGTGTATATGGGTGTATTTAGGCTCATAAATCAGTTCTTTCTTGTTTCAGGGGAATAGGGAGTGACTGGAGGAATTTTGCGATGGAACAGATTACCCATAATTGAAAAGGAAAACTTAACTGGACCTGTTTCCTGTCTGGGGTCCCGTACAGCTCTAAAACCAACTGATCCGGACTGATCTGAGCAAAGCTGAGAGTCTTGAGCCGTGAGTAATGTAAAGAACAACTACACACACAGACTTTTGAAACTAGTTAAGATACAGATATTTTCTAACACAAATGCCTCGCACAAACCTGCTGACATTGTTTTTAGCTGATTTATTAGACTTATAGATATTTTCAGAATCATTTTTAGCAAAGCGGTTAATGGTTTAAGACTTTTCCCCGGTTTGGCTCTGCATGTAAACGTCTTGTGTTTGCTATCAAAACTGGAGGATGCAACGAAACCCAACAATTTCAAAATGCAAGTGTGTTTTGTCTCGTCTTGTGTTGTGGGTTTTTATAATGAGCAGATTTTTGATAGTTATCAGTGTTTTGTTGTATGTAAACGCACTCGACACGCACTGACAGCACAGTTACTAACATCTTGTTATTATTATAGAGTGATTATTATTGGGCCGTTGCTTAAGGGGGAGACTGTTGCTAGGCAGTTGCTAAGGTATTCAGAATGGTTTCTAGTATGGTTATTATAAAGAACTATAACCATGAAAAATTGGTTACTTCAAATAAAATAAATGTTACCTGAAATAAAATATAATATCAAAAACTTAAACTGGCATTTCAGCTAG